AAAATTTCAAATTAGGTATATATATTTTTAAAATTTGACTTGAAACGAATATCAAGTAGATGAACATTATGATAAAGTCAGAATTATAATTAAATTCTCAGAATTATATAAAAACTTAAACTACAAATATAATATTGAAATGCAAAATTATATACATAATACGAGGACTAATTTAAGAATTAGACTATCTTTCTTAAACCGATTCAGTTTCGTAAATTTTCCTTCGTTTAATATTACGTAAACAATGATTCAAATCGAACCAATGACGGACATCTTTTTACAGAGAAAATTTACTTACTTTTGTATTATAGGACTTGCTAGTTAAATTAACAAAAAGAATAATTTAGTTAAAAATTTACAGAAAAATAATTTTTATATAAATTATTAAATAATATTTCAAAACTAATTTTCTCATTTGAGTTTACTATGTGCCATCTCTAGAAGGAAAAAGGCCCGTGGAGCAAAGCAGGAAGTCGGCTTTTAAATACAATGAGATAGTGTTTTCTCTTCTAATACAATGAAATACCAATATATGTGGCCGAACTCTTGATTGATCTTAAAGAAACAAAACCTAAATGAGCTTCAAAAGGTCTTCCATAAAGCCAGGATTAATCATAGGGAAAAAGCTTAAAGCATTCTACCTGAGGGACCAGTTCACGAAAACATGACGCCGAGTTTCTTTGCGAAGTCGTTGCCATCTTCCTCCTCTTCGACATCCACATTTTCACTATCATCGTAGTTATTATATTCCCCTTCATCTACCTGCTGCTCGTAATAATAATCTTCATCCCTTTGGTCATCTGCCTCGTATTCATGATCTTCAATTCCCTCATCTCCAATGATCACATCCTCAGCCTCGGCCTCATGCTCACTAGTGTTGAGTGGTTGAGAGGATTCACCATGAGTGGCTTCCGTTATTCCGATATCTGCAGTTGCGGGGTTGGACTCTTCCTCTTTGTTTGCCTCTTTCAGAGCCGCTGATGCTTCTTTGTTATTGGAACTGCTAATCAAGCTTCCCTTGCTTTGTTTTTGTCTATCATCTTCTTTATTTACAGGTGCTATACCATTCCCAGAAGCTGCACCTTTAGATTGTCTCTTTCTCTTTAGAATCTCACTAAGAGGCATTGGCCCTTTGAATGAAATATCACCTTCAGTTTGTTGATGATCTATGATGCTCTTTCGCTTTCTGAGAAGCTGGTGCTCCTTATTATCGGTGCTCTTCCCAACTTTCAGCTCTGCAAGACTTTTTGGACCTGCAAAATCAGTGCTCCGCTCAACCATCACTTCTCCTCTAATCCTCGGGCCAACAAAATTGTGACCTTCAATATTGTCCAATTCCCCTTCCACCCCTCCTTTTATTCTGTCACGGAGCCTTCCTTGGGAATTGGTTTGAGGCTTTACTGGCGAGTGCCGTCCCAGATTTCGCCCTCTTTCTATCCCCCTTTCAGAATGTAAATCAGATCCATGGCCAACAGATCTCCCAGGAAGCTTTATTCTACCTTGAAGACGACTGCTAAGGGATCTCTCATGTGAAGAACCCCGGTAATTCTGCTCCCCTTCATAATTTTCTATTCCTTGATCATGATTGACAACAGATTTCAGGCCATTAACCCTCCTACGCTTAGCCAAACGATGTCGAAGGTCTGACTCCTCAACATGATTGGGGCTATCAACTCTTGAGTAACCCCTTCTCTCAAAAGTAGATGATCCTATAGGTATCTTCTCAGATGAAGCCCTTTGTTGGTCCCAATCATAATTCCCTTGCACATGGTCAAATGAATCATAGCCCCGTGGATCCTGAAACATTTCTTGGTCAACATCAGCCAAGGAATCATAATTAGCAGAGCGACCAATACCATATTCATCCACATCCCTCAGGTCATCATCCACAAGAACATCAAAACCCGGAGAAGACTCTCTCAAATATTCATCAGTGTCCTTACCACCATGAAAACTCGGTTCATCTAAAGCATGAGCCTGATGCAAGTGATTAGAATAACCCGTAGAGCCACCATTAACAACTGAAGTAGTTTTTGTTGCTTTGTGTCGAGGAAATTCCTCATCTATTGTACGTGACACACTTTTCTCAGTTCCAGTACCACTCCTAGTGAACGTAGCTTTAACTTTTGCACCAGTTCTATTTTCAGAAGCTATTCCACCAATATTTGAAACGTTAGTTGGAGGAAACTTCTGTGGCTTAGGTGCTACAACGGCACCAAAAGTTTTCTTCAAAGAATGAGGCTCACTCACGGTGGTAGTTGTCGCTGGTTGTGTGGCTTTATTACTTGGACTCGAACCATGCAAAAAAGCACATCTGTCGCCTTTAATGCAAAGTCCTTTGGAGAAGAAAATACATGGCACCGGTTGTTTGCTGGTGCTGTAAGACACCGCCTGGTTGTAAGGCATATGACTAGCAGGTGCTGTAGTTGCTGCTGTCTGCAACAAAGGCTTGGAAGAACCTGTTGGAGTTGTCGCTTGGGTTCCCAACAAGCCATCTAGAGGCTGAAACGAAAACATCAAAACAGAATAAACATAATCAAAATCAGTCCAAATATATCGCAATATGGGTGAAATAGCTGGATATATAACTTAATTATTAAAATAAATATTCAAATTTTGATTGTCGGACAATTTTTCAAACTTCACTTTTGAAACTAATTATGGCAAGAAGACTCCCACATGAACCTGTAAGACTAGCATGGCACATAGATTTATAATATAAGTGTAAGAGAAGAGTAGAAACTTACAGGATGCCGAAATGCACATTTCGGGTTCAAGCAGTTCCCACTCAACCAGTAATAACAATCCCTTGGGTTAACCCGGGCATATTCACTGTGACGATACTCGCATTCACTTCCCTGCGTGCATTGAAAATAAAATAAACATTAGTTACGGTAACGGCCATTGACGTCAAAAAGTGAATAGAAGCACATTAACTACGCTCACGGCATCTAACAATTAATGAAGTAAATTATAAGACAATTTGATGCCATCTAAAACAATTGGCTCTACGGATAAACAAAATCGATGAGGAAGCATGGCAAAACATGAACCTCAAACTAATCCAAAGGGACAACAGAATAGTTCCCAAAGGATAAAGGTGAAACTGCAGGCAGACGACAACAGAAACAGTCTCGGAGTGACAATATTAGCGACGATTCATCAAAACATTCCATCATAGATCACAGAATAAGTGCATCGCAATGAGAAAACAACGGACCCTACAATCCTTTTAACAATTATAAAGAGTTTATTATAAGGAACATTAATGTCCCCTAACTAATAATAATTCAGTAAAAAAATACACATTTAACAGCCAACTCTTTGGAGAAAAGGCAATACTTTTATTCAGTATATCCAGGAGGAACATCAAGGAAAGGATACCCTAAATTTCTAGATGAATTCACCAGGGCTTTATCACTAAGAAACTAACATAAATCAGGAAGATCTAACCTCTAAAAAGCTCAAACACAAACAAAACAGTTTACTTTTCCGATTAAATGTATTTATTACCAATTCAACGTCTAACATAGAACTGAACAAGCAGGAAATTAAAAGGGGAGGATAGAATTTAAATCTGAAACCCTAATGGAAGTACAAAAGAGAGATCCCAGAAACAATAAGATCTTGTTTCAAACCATAAGACAAAAGGGGGGGGGGGAAGAAAACCTTTTTGCATGTTAAAGGGGAAGCGAGAAAGTAAACGCAATCTGTATTCCTCTTCAAAGCCTCTTCCTCGGCCGATGATTTTGAAGCCCCGGTCACCGTCACGTTCATCGCCGCCGTAGGCGGCTTCTGCTGTTGTTGAGGCGTAGCCGCAACCATGGCGGGTTCTTCAAAAAAAAAATCCCCCAAAAAGCAACAGAAGAAAAGTTCCTTCCTTTATTAGATTGAATATTTCAAATGATGAAATAAAAGACGGATTTAAGATGATGCGATGAGGGAGGGAGGAGGAGGAGCCGCCACAGAATAAATTGAGGTTAAGGAGATGAAATTATATTATATAAGAAAGCTGGAAAGCTTGCTAAGCTAAAAATAAGAGAACTTAATGGGAAAAAAGAGGAATTTAAAAAAAAATAATAATCAAAGTTGGAGAAGAAAGAGAAGGGAAAGGGAGGGAGGGAGGAAAGAGAGAAGCTGTAACAAGAGATGAGTGGTGATGTGTTTCCTTATTTCACATACACACCACAAAACATAACTTTTAAGTGGACATGGTTTGTGTTCTTTTTTTCTTCTTACAAAAATCTTTAAGAAATTAAATAAAAATGACATCTTTATATGAATTATATTAATAACAGGTTAACCAAATTAAATTTAATCAATGATAATATATTGTCATTAGGGTATAATCCTATTTTTATCTTTAAGATGGTTCTCTAATTTTTCTAAAATGTCATTTTTATTATTTCTTTTCACATATTCTTAATGTGTTTGGTTTCGTTTACTTTTATGACACATTTATTCTAATAATTGACGGCTTTGACACCTATAGTGGTGGATTGTTTAACAGTAGAGATAACTAGAGTAGAGAATGTTGCTTAATTGATTGTTTAATCGATAAAGATGAAGAGCTTGAAGACGTTACATGTTTATATCGATTTTCTAAAGATGTCAAGTACTTTGATAGACTTCTAATGTCCACTATAATATCTACACTAGATTAAAAAAATATTTTCTCTGACACCTTACCTGGCAATTTTCTTTTCACCACCTTATCCCATCATCTTGTCCTATTTAACTACATGAAATCATTTTATAACGTCCATTCGGACCTTGACTAAAGCCATCATCTCTCTTCCTCCTCGACTTGCTACCAAGGCGGATTAAAATGAGAGTTTGTTGGTAGTCTCAGAATCTCGTAGGTAAGTGCTTTCCTTAGAATTGTTTTGTTCAATGATTTATTGTTTGATTGCCGATAGAGACATTTTTAGTTCGGTTTTAGCTCTTTTATGCACTTCTACCATATACGATCCTATTCCACTTGTTCATCCTCCAGGTATTTTTGCTTGTATCATCGTCCAAATTCTTCCTACAGCTTTTTCACCAATAATGCAGTCTCGTTTCCCAGTGCCGCAAGGTACCTTGTCGAGTTCCGCTAGCTTTTCTTTTTCTCCAAATCCTCAGTCGGTCCAGAATGCTCAAAATCAACCACCTAAATCTGTAAGACAATGATAAAAGTTCCCTCACTTCGTTGTACTCAGCTTAGGTTATCGAAAGTTGCAATGCTCATTTATTTTTTTACCTACTGCTGGTAGGACTTTCAGTAAGTTTGGATTGTTTGTAGCATTTTGTTATGAAGCTTTGCGGTGTCAAGAATAATTGTTTTTGTATGGAGGGGGATACAACTCTATGCATGGAAATAACATAAAATACAGAATTCAATTCTACTAGATTAATACTTTGGAAGAGGGAAGAGGAGGCGTTGATAACATCGAATTTTGCTGAATTTAAAGTATTATAGGAAATTGAGAAATTTTGTGCTTGGGCAAGTGATGGGGTTGTGTATTTGCTTTTACAAATGTTCTCGACATACGTGAACTATGTTACAGCACAACAGACAATACAGTATAGACCTACAAAATTATTTTTTGATGGTGCCTTAGTTAAACAGTATGCCTCAATTTTAAGCTCTATATGTTGTCATCAGATTTCGTTGAATGGATCTGAGTGCAGTTATTGCCATAGTTGATATTAGTTTGTTACTTCCTAACATGGTTCCTGTCTGGCCTTTGGAATTCCGTGCAATCTCTTTCAATCCTATTCTCAATTTAGTACTCCACTGCTTGCAGCCTTGCAGAATGATGGCTAACAATTGCTTATGCATCTGTGGAATGAATTTGATATGGAGTTTTTTGTATTCTGCTGTCTTACAAGTTGAACTTTTTTGCTGATTGCAGGATACACTAGCCACTGGTACACAAACTGCTACTGTATCATCTTCATTAACTGTTTCTCAGCCTGGCCCATTGCCGGTCCATAACTCTTCAGATTTTACAATGAATGCATCTACCACTCCCAATTTCGCCCCTGTAACATCATGGATGCCCACCACGCCATCTTTCCCCATGTCTAGTGGATCTTCTGGAACTTCAGGGGCACCAGCACACCCTGGGTTAGTACCATCTGTTCAGATGGTTACTGCTTCTGCTGCTGTGGATTCTCCGTCTTCTGCAGTTCCTGGACCCAATGCTCCCTTTTCATTAAATCCAGCTGCTCAGCAACAAGCATACCCTGCCTATACATCCTTACCTCCTATGGCTTCTTCCCCTCAGGGATTTTGGATGCAACATCCTCCAATGGGTGGCTTTCCCAGGCCTCCGTTCATACCTTACCATACTTTTTATCCTGGATCATTTCCTTCAACTTCAAGTGGTATGCCTCTTCATGCACCACCATCTGATTCTCAACCTCCTGGTATTAGACCTCTGGGAATGAGTCCGTTTGCACCATCTACAGCTGCTCCTGCTAACCAGTCATTGGCAATCCAGACAGGATTAACTCAAGGAATTGGTATGCTCAGAGTTTCCATGCTAGATTACTGATCAACTAACAATGTAAGAGCTGTTTAACCTTTATTATTGCACCATGAAGTTAATTTTTTCTTCATTCGTATTTCATGGGGTTCTGCAGATAATAGGAAACTTGTCCATGATGCTCGCACCAAAGCTGAAACTGCTGTCAATGAACAGTCTGATGTCTGGACTGCCCACAAGACTGACACGGGGGTTGTTTATTACTATAATGCATTAACTGGAGAGTCGACTTATGAAAAACCTGCTGGATTTAAAGGGGAGGTATATTATTAACTGGATATGCATGGATATGTTTTCTATTAGTAACTTTTTTGGTGCACCATTTTATGTTATTGCAAGTATTTGAATTGATTGATACCATTTTTAATAAATTTCCCAAATATTGGCTGATTAGCATTCTTTAATGGATGCTACAGGAAATTTCATTTACCATAAACTGCCCGAAAATGTCGGAGTATCACTGTCAAGCACTAATCATATGATGCTTTGTAAGTTAATCCGAAGATTCCACATTGTTTAAGTGGTATAAAACTACAGAAATATGCATATTCGCACTTGTGTGTACCTGTGGAAATATATGATATTATTTCTGGCTCTCCACTGGTAGCCATATTGAAGTCAAATGACAGTTTTCATGGTTCTTGTGCATAGAAAAACATTTGTAACCATTTTTTCCTGGCATCTGTATTTTCCGCTGGCTTCTCAGATGTTTCAAATTAATATTAACTTCTTTTTCTTTCACTTTTGTCCACAGCCTGATCAAGTTACCGTGCAGCCAACTCTAGTTTCTGTGTAAGTTATTTACTTTCACCTTCAGGAGTGGTACTTGCTATGTGGCCTATCTCAGCAGTTGGCACTGTAATATTGACATTGCCGAATGGAATATATAGTTAATTACTTGGTTAGGGGGGAAATGAACCCTCAATCACCTGCAGAGCACCATAAAAATGCAAAATAATAAATAAAATTCAAAATATTCATTTTATTGTTGGATGATTTGCAAGTATTTCCTAAAAATAAATGTAAAATTGGAAATAGAAGAAGTTTTTAATATTTTTTTTGATTAATCTGGGGTAAGTACAAGGCAATATTTGTTATAAAATAACTCTCAACCTCTTAACATTGAATGCTCACACCCATGACGTTCTCAATTCTCGAACCCCGGTCTCAAGGAACGATAACCATTCCTTTACCACGAAGACCACTCTGTTCGTGCTTAATATTTTAATATTTTTCTTATATTTCTAGAAATTGTTTAAAATATTCTCTAAGTTAGGTTACATTTTATATTTCACGTTCTTTCAAAATTGAAGAGAATATTATGTTTTTCTAGAATTCTTTTGAAATATTATAATTGGGCATTATTGTATAAAAAATCTTATAACTATTTAAAACATTATATTGCAGTCCACCCTCTGTGCTTTGGATATCATTTTACTGTCTTGAGAAAGTGTCGTTTTTTTGTAGATTATCATCTTAAATGTCATGTCTCTTTTTTATAGGGAGCAAATGGCAGGAACAGATTGGGCACTGGTTACCACAAATGATGAGAAAAAATATTACTACAACAGCAAAACCAAGGTAGTATGTATAGTTTAATATTTCTAGCCTGTTATACTCCAAATGGGCTTGTTTAACTGTACTACATGTGTGAATTTTTTTCCAGTTAATAGAAAAATGACATGTTCTGTCTTGTATATATTTTTTCTGTGCGCATTCACTTGTATGATATGAATGTGCTGTGCCTGGGCCCCGGAATTAAGTGGGTTAGAAGTGAAACTATAAGGGATTATGTTACTTGATCTCGGGTTGGGTGTAACTGTTGGACATAGGTATGCGTCTGACATGGGTGCGGTTAAAATTTTCCAAGTTTTTCCATATATTTGAAGGACCTTGGAGTTCATAACCCATGTCCATGTGTTGGACATGAGCATCAGACACGGTTACTTCAAAAAAGAAGAAGAGTACAATCAACATAGACAATGAATTTTATGGTTAATGGTTATAAATGAAAAGGTTCCATCTGGGATTATGATGCACTGGTCGGGCCTTGAGAACTAAAATGTGGCTGCTGTAAGGATCGTGGTAGTTGTAAAATTTTGGAAATAGAAGATCCAGGGCTATGTTGATATATTTGCTGCGATGCTCTTGAAAATTGTTGCTGGTTTAGGAGTTTAACTGCTCAAGAGAAAGAGCGAGTAGTCTATGGGCACAATTGGGAAGAATAGGGCGCTGTTCCTGAACCTGAAAGAGTAAAGGAAATAGAAATGTGCAATCAACAATGACAATTTCTTTAGGAACCTTGTCCGGTTGTTCAATCTATTTCTATAGATGTAATATGAAAGAAACACCAGTTTCTTATGCTTTGCTGTCCGAAGATGAGACAAAATAACTTATGGAGTTGCCGTATGTGTAAATTTCCTCATTCATCAAGCCTTGTACAATTTCAAATGAGCAGATAGTAATGCTTATGTGCTGTATTCCTTTTATCTCAGTTTTGCTTCTGATGATGTGTATCCCAGGTTTTACATTGCCCTCATGCTTATAAGCCTAGTTTTACAATCAACTTTTAGGATTCGAGTGAACTTATTTATATTTCCTAGTTACTGATATTTTCCCACTTTTCATGGTATTTTTTATCTATCAGATTAGCAGCTGGCAGATCCCTATTGAAGTAACAGAGTTCAGAAAGAAACAAGATAGTGAAGTATCAAAGGATCATGCAGCACCAGTACCAACTACTGATGTAGTGGAAAAAAAAGGATTGAGTGCTCCTGCTGTTAACACGGGTGGCTGTGATGCCATGCCTTTAAGAACTTCAGTGGTCCCTGGTTCCTCAGCTGAACTGGATTTAATTAAGAAGAAGTTGCAAGACTCTGGAGTTCCTTCTTCCTCAACTGTTCCGGTTATGCCAGTATCAGCGGCACATGGATTTAATGACTCAAAAGCAGTTGATGTCAAGGGCTTGCAGAGTGATAACAACAAAGATAAGCAAAAGGATGCAAATGGGGATGGTAACATATCTGATTCCTCTTCAGATTCTGAGGATGCAGACACTGGGCCTTCTAAGGAAGTGTGTATTATGCAATTTAAGGTATCTATGGTGCCATATTTGTTGCATATTCTCAAATTTGGTTATCCTTGGTTTTATTACTGCTCCCCAGTCTTGTAGCTGGAGTGATTTGTTTATCATGCAAGTGAAATTCACAGGAAATGATCAAAGAACGGGGAGTTGCGCCATTCTCGAAATGGGAAAAGGAACTTCCAAAGATTGTGTTTGATCCACGTTTTAAGGTTTGTTGAGGCTAAAGATTATCTATCATTTTCTTTTGGTAGTTATAGGGAACTTTCCTGCTATTGGAATTCCTTGAGCACTTATCATATGAATGTCGTTGAATGAGAAAAAAGGAATAAAACTGCCGTTGAACTATACGTCAGTCTTAATTTTGACAAAATGAGGGCTCAAGTATGCAACTGAAGAGTTCTCTGTTAATAAGTAATTAATATATGCCTTCTCTTTGTTGCATGCTCTCTGAGTTGGTAACAAATTTAGTTTATCTTTTATGTCTCATTATGAAGTCATACTATTGAGTTTTAATTTCTTAAAGTGCATTGTGTTGCAGGCTATTCCAACTCATTCTGCTAGGAGGTCCTTGTTTGAACACTATGTTAAGACATGTGCTGAGGAGGAACGCAGAGAAAAACGAGCAGCCCAGAAAGCTGCAATAGAGGGATTTAATAAGGTGCTGGATGAAGCATCAGAGGTTTCTTCAATTGTCCAAAATTCAATGTCATTTTTTGTTACATATGTTGAAAATCTTGCTTTGAAATTGTCGAACTTTCGATTTTTAGTTTTTTACTAGCTGATTTTTTAATCTACAGGATATTGGCCATGACAGCAATTATCAGTCTTACAAAAGAAAATGGGGGAGTGATCCACGATTTGAGGCTTTTGACCGTAAGGATCTGGAGCTTCTATTAAATGAAAGGTAATATTACTAGGACAGAATCATAATCGTTATTTTTCTTTAGCGCGTGATCTTTATGGTTTATGCAGAAGGTTGGGGTTTTTCTCTCTTTTATGTTGTGCAGCTTTACCCGGTTGTACCATCACATGTTCTGTCTAATGGTTATAGTAGCCAAGATGCTCCTACAGTTGCATGTTGTTCAAAGAAATTAGTGCTTGGATCTTCAGTTTTTAATGGACTATAGTCTTTAGTAACTTGTTAATTTTTTTTAATTCACCATATAAAACAGTCTCTGGCACCAACGTGAAAGAGCTACTCGACTATTCATCTTTTAACCTTTTTCCTCTACTATTAGATTTTCTTTTCTTTGATAGACTTGTTAGAGTACAACATATTCTTTCCTTTCTTATACCTTGTGCCTTCATCTTGTTTCGAAGTATGATAAATGTCCTAGTTACACATGTTGCTCATATCCTGTTTGTTGTGTTGATCTTCCCGTACAACATGTTTTGTGCTTCTGTAATCGCATATGATATGCTTTGATTCCAGTACTTGTTTAAATTTATGTCGAACTTGTTCGATTGTCTCTAGACACAGGAGGTGTTCTAATGATAACATTGAAAGCAGCATTTGTCAGAAGGTAGTAGGCTAGAGACCAGATTCTAAGATTCAATTTGGGCGTGTCCTTTACCCCTTTATCTCTTTTGGTTTGAATGGTAAATGCCTGGTTTTTTCCTTGTACTTTTATCAAACTGGTTAAGAAATGTCTCTGCTTCTACCACAGGGTTCTTCTCTTGAAGAGGGCTGCTGAAGAAAAGGCTCGAGTTATACGTGGTGCTGCTGCTTCTAGTTTTAAGTCCATGCTTAAAGAGAAAGGAGATATCATTATTGATTCCCGTTGGTCCAAGGTATGTGCAATTTAAATTAGGACTTTTGGTTATTGGTTTTTTCCCTTACCTTTTGGAGAGTATGTTCCTCAAACATTAGGTATCTTGCATATCTTTTGCCTTGTCGATTGGAATTTATTAGTCAGATCATTCTTTTTCTGTGAGATTTACCATCTTCATTGGGTTACTCGTGTTTGCAAGTTTGCAAGCATGTAAAAGACTATTGGTTCATATTCTCTTTAATGAATATGATGGAATATATAACTTATTTTCCTACCTTTTCTTTTTGTTGTTTCAGGTGAAGGATAACTTGAGGGATGATCCTAGGTATAAATCTGTTAAGCATGAGGATCGAGAGGTTTTGTTTAACGAGTACATATCTGAACTCAAAGCCATAGAAGAGAAATCAAAGCGAAAAGAGAGAGTGAGAAAGGAAGAGGAGGCAGATTCTCTCTCTGACACACACACTCCTTCTCCCTCTCCTTCTCTGTCTATGTCTTTTCTCGCATAAACAAACTATTATTGTAATTTTGTTCTGATGTTATTGATTGTGCTTGCTAAACTTCTTTGTAATCTGACAACTCATTAGTTCTTCTTGCTTCAGAACTTCTCTGCCATTTGTAACAAATTTGGTTCTTCATCTCGTCGTAGATGTTTTGTGTATAATGGTGTGATATATAAAATATTGAGAGTATGACTTGGAAATTTCTTAGAAGAGACTATTTGCCAAGGATCTTTGCATTCTAATATCTCAAATCTTTTAGCTAAAAATCGATCAAATTGACTTCTTACTAGAGTTATTTTAAGCGGCTGTTTTATGGACATGCTTGTGTGAAAATATGTACTAGGCAATGACATCTCATAATTCCGCATGAGGAACATGTTCTTACACTGGATGAAGGGGTGAGATAAACTCTCATAAAGAACTTCTAACTGTTGGTGGACCATTCCTGATAGACACATATCATTAAAATGGATGAAGAGATGAGATAAACTATCGTAAAGACCTACCGACCCTTGGTGGACCATTCCCAAGTTCCCGTTTCCTCCTCTTCCGAATGCTGTTGAGGCCTTTGCTACCTATTTACGAACTCCAATGACCATCATATTGGCCTTTCTTTTTCCACTTCCGTAAATCTTTCTTCACTTCTCTCAGCCACATCCTTCGCATATGCATGCGTAACCTCATGTTTCTGGTCTGTTGGTGGTATTTTCTACTGGTTTTTTGTTGTTATAGATTGTTTAGTCGTATTTATGGTTGTTCAATCTAGAAGGTGCAGTTTGATGGTGTCAGCTCTCTATGAGGATGCATAGCTATGAAATAGCTGAGCAACAAAAATTGAATAAAAGGTTTTTGAGTTGTTTGAAGATTGTATTGTGTAGCTTTGTGAAATCTACTTTTCAGATGCCTTATTCCCTTGATTTCAACTCTCTTCTCTTTGCGTGTTTAAAACCCTTTTCCAAGCATAGCTTAAAATATCTTTCGGGACTTGTTTGATATTCCGGTGGAACATATGGCCCTTCTCAAATGCTTCCTAAAGGATAGATCCGTAATATGTAGAAGAAGGCTGCTCTTTTTATGCAACTTTATGCAATGTGAGAGTATAATTATTTGTCAATCCAAAACGGTGCAATTCGTTGGCCGGCTTCCTAGCGAAACAGACAGTAGGTTAAGTCTATATTTTTTTCACGGTAAAGGAGCGCTGTTTTTCAGGCTTCCCAAAGAACGTGATCGGGGTGGGATTTTAAGTGTACTGGCTGGTGTTGGCTGATCAGGGTTCTGTTGGTTTAAAGTTCTGCCTGTAGGGTCTGGATTTGAATGGAGAGCTTCTGTCTTCTCTCCATTTGGTCTGGCAATGCTGTTAGTTAGGGCTGTGACCTGTGAGGTTCATAAAGGTGGTCTCAGAGTGGGTTCTAGGGAGCTTTTTTCTGTGTTAGAAGAGTATTATGTCGTTGCCATTGCTAGGGTACATTTTTTTCCTCCTCTTAGACTTAGGGAGGTTTTTTAACGAGGCCCCTAACAATGCTTGATAATACTATAATTTAATAGATCTCCACTAATTAGTTTTTTCAAGCTTCTAACATGTTTTGAGACCGAAATCCTTCACTGCCTGGCGTTGGCTCATCTGGAAACTGGAATCTGTCAAGCTATTGATGTCTTTCTTTTATTAATCCTTCTAGGCATCTTGGACTGAATCAAAACCCAAGTTGGAAAAGGATCCTCAGGGACGTGCAGTGAACCCTGATTTGGATTCATCCGATATGGAGAAGCTCTTTCGTGAACACATAAAGATGCTGTTTGAGGTGATTTTACGACTACATGATATCAATATGGTTATGGCTTTTAAGTTTTAGCACACGTTCAATCCCGCCACTCCCATTTACGATCACCGCCAAGTAATGTTCTATATTTGTGCGCTATGAGTATTCTCTTTGTTTACGAGTCGAAGAAACGAATGTATGAGACCATGTCTAAGGGATTTATGCGTATTAGTCAATCTTGTCCGGCATAACCCTTTGATTTGGCCTTTTCGTAGAGATGTTCGAACGACTTCAGAGCCCTGTTAGCCGAAGTCATAACCCAAGATGCAGCTGCCCAAGAGACGGAAGGTGGTAGAACAGTCCTGAATTCATGGTCAACGGCCAAACATCTTCTGAAGCCGGATCCGAGATATAACAAAATGCCAAGAAAAGAGAGGGAAACACTATGGCGCCGATACGCGGAGGATATGTTGAGGAAGCAGAAATCAGCGACCGATCAAGAGGAAGAGAGACACATTGATGCTAAAAGCAGAAGCTCTGCCGGTGATTTTGGAAGATACTCCTCAAGTACATGGAAAAATCAAGAACGTAGGCATTTGTAGAATTTATTGTCACATGGGAGAATTTTTTTTATGACAGTGGTAAATTGAGTCCGATGTATTTGCTTAGAAATATTGTTTATTTTTCCTATAATATTAACAATAACTAATCGATTATATGAAGGAGATCTCTTAAACAACGTTTGTATATAATTAATTGGGGGGGTAATAGGCTTACGTTTATAATATCTGATCTAGATTAGTTTGATAAGTAAAAAGTCAACATGTGAGATCGTTCTCTTAAACTATTTTTTGAATGATTTAAATGCCTAACATTACAAATATTATCACTTTAGGTGCTCGGACTGTAAACGACGTCAATTTTTTTTGTTAAATATGTGCCCTATTTTGGTAATTTTAAGATTTTTATTTAAAATTAAAAATTATATTAAAGAAGCATAATTTTTGAAATAACCCTAAAACTTTAAAAAAAATTCATTTTAACCCCTAAACTCACATCGATCATCGCATTTATCGTTGATGAAGCTCCATCATACCTCATCTCCTCCTGACGATCCATATCCTATTGAAATCGTGAATAATCGACGGTTAATCGACATATTGTACCCCACGAACCCTAAGATGAAAATCACGATCCCATGTTATTTCGACAACCAATGGTGGCAACTACGATGACGTATGACTAGGAGGATTGCAGGGAGTATGTCGGCAACGGTGGTCATGACCGAAAAGGATGGTGGTGGTGGGTTAAGGTTAGGGATTTAGGATTTTTAGAGATTTGAGTTTTTTTGTAATTGAAGGAAAATTAAGTTTTTTTTATAAATATAATAATATTAATGTTTTAAAAAAATTAAAATTACTTAATGAAAAAAACTAACAATAATTGTAGTCTGTACACCTAAAGTGATGACGTTTGTAACATTAGACACATGAATCATTCAAAAAATAATTTAAGCATATATTCGTGAAAAATAAATGGTTGTCCCTTGTTCCCATATGTAATGGGGTAAGGGGGAGGTAAGATAGTAGGATGCCCCCAACACCAGGTTGAGAGCAGCTTCCGTAGAAGACCTCCGAATTATGAAATGCCCGGGACTCGATCCCACGACCTCAAGGTTAAGAACTTTATGCTCTACCAACTGAGCTGGATAGTCATCTCATATTCGTGAAAAATGATATAATTTAAACATTTATTTTATAATTAAGCTTATTTTATATTATAGATTAGTGTATGTTCCTATATTTTTTTGTGTGGATAATTATGTTCCCTTATTTTCGTATACTGTGTTTTTGTGTACTCTTTATGGATGATTACACAAATATTAAAGGACACATGTAACTGCATTACGGTGGACACTGAAATAATAGAAAGGATACAAGTAATGTTTTAATTGGACTGTTGTTTACTGAATATGACAGACTAATTACTTAAGCAATTCCTCTGGTCAATTAGAATTTGGCTTTGACTAGATTTTCGTTCAAAAGTGATGAAAAAAGAGACAACCATCTCCATCTGATAATTATTTAAATAATATTAAACTCTCAACCTTAATTTTTATTAGGGTAAATTGCACTGTTCGTCATTGAACTTTACTCTCTCATATTTTTCTCACCCAACTTTCAATTTGATCTCACTAAACTTTATATATTGAATCATTTTGCTCATTCTATCATTAACTATTTAACGGCGTTATGACATGACACATGCATTAAAACGACGTCGTTTTGAAAAACTCAAATATACTCCAAAACGACATCATTTCGGTGAGTAAAATAAGAGAGAATAAAATTCAATGACTCATGGTGTAATTTACCCTTTTTACTTCTCTTCTTCATTTTCTCTCCACCACCCACCACGTCATTTTCATTCCGGCCACCGCCGACCGCCGTAGATAGTGGCCTTTCGGTCCCAAATTTTATGTGTCGGTTTGTCTCGACCCTTGAGTCTGAATCTGGTGGTTGTTTTACCCAAAAATGTCCCAAATCCCGTGAATTTGGATTTTAATGTTTCGGTTTCCTTACTTTCAATCTCAAATTCATGGATTTTGGAACAAGTTCCGACAAAATGAAGGTCGGATTCGGACTCAAGGTGTCGAGACGAAATGACCCATCCTATTTTAGGACCAAACAATCACCATCTACGGCGGTCGACGGTGGCATCCAACCACCTTCTATTTTTATTTTTTTTAATTATTTTTATTAAATAATAAAAAAGGTTGCGTGTTAAATTTAGTTTTTATTTCATTTAAGTATTCGTCGTTAAAAACTTTAGTTTTTATTTCATTTTAATATCACATTCCAAACTTAATGTTAAGTTTTAAAAAATTGAAAATTTAGATACTAAAACGGACTAAAACTGATAGTTTAGGTACTAAACGTGTTAAATTTTTAACAATGAGATATTAAAATTAAATAAAAAACTAAACGTTAGACATGATTTTGAAAAAACTAAAAGTTTAGGTATTAAAACATACTGAAACTGATAATTAGGTACTAAATGCATAGTTTACCCAAATATTTTTCTAGATAATTTAAAATTTATCATTTTTGTCACTTTTTTCCTCTGATCCCTTGTCCATGGCATCCAAAGTTCACAAATTGAAACTCAAAAGGAAACTAATTATTATATTCAAATGCTTCTTCTTTTTTTCTTCCCTATATTTCTGAGGAAATTCGCCGGTTTATAGGGCGAAAGCGAGACATATGACTCCATATCCTGTGACGGTACAGTTCATCTCTCAAGCAACAAGTATTGTAGTCATGATGATAGCTGCAATGCTTCCAGTTCAGTGATTCTAGCTTTTCTTTTCTTTTTTTTTAGTGTTAGAGTGAAAGCAAATCGATTATCATTTACATGGATTACGAAAGAATCCAAAAGCCTCAGGTACTTGTGCTTCTTGCAAATCTCCTTTTTTTTATGGCTTTTCTCTTCGTCCAATGCTTTGTTTATTTGTTATTTTTTGGTAAAGTGAGACAGCGAGTCAGGAAGAAAGAGGAGATTTCAGTTTCATTTTTCATATTTTGATTTGCTGATCCGTTGCTCAAATCTGTGTTTGTGACTGAAGAAAAAAAAATCAAATCTGTGTTTGTGAAAATGCGTAGGGCGGTGGTGGATTTTCCCCAGCTAAGCTAAGGACTATGCTATTAGGAGTTGAAAAGAAACGAAAACAAGATGAAGAACAAGTTGAATCTTCTATAGATTTAAGATCTCAACTTTCTCACCTTGATGATGATTCAGGTATTTTTAAATTTTAATCATTGTCTTTTTGGTGTATTTTTTTTTTCATTTGATGCATATCAAAATATATTCAGCCAAAAAAAAAGTTGAAGAGAATGGAATGAGAGTGAAACTGTTGATTTTTATTCTAAAGTTTGTATTTTTGCAGGGAAAAGTGGTTCTGATAGTTGCAAAGATGTTGATGTGGTGAGTGTTATTCCAGAATGTTCCACTTCCACAACAGCAGATTCCATGGCTGCTGTGCAGAATGGTGGCCATCGAAGATCAAAGGATCATTCTCTAGGCACTACTCGAAACCGGTTCATTGAGGATCAGCCTGGTTTAGATTATGACAGTGGACATGACAATATGAGTGTATCCTCATCTATCTTTGAGTTTCAGAAGACCGAACGGGCACTACAAAGGGTTCCCCTTGGTCCGTTTTCTAAGCCGGCTCCATCTAAATGGGATGATGCTCAGAAATGGATAGCTAGTCCTACTGCGAATCAGCCTAAAACAGGGCAGGGTGGCCAAGGGGTGGGATCAAGAAAAGGGGGTAATTTTGGTCATGGGAAACAGTCGTCTACTAAGGTGGTTCTTGAAGTTCCAGATCAAAGGATGGTTCCTTTCGAAGAACCGGATACAAAAAGGATTGATACGAATCATGCCAAGAAGGATGATGGGTTGCAGAAGTTTGTGAACTGGGAGAGTGATCCATACCCGGTAGTGGATTCATATGGGAAGCCTGTACTATTGATTGAGAATTCTGTTGCAGACTCAGCTAGTAAGGATTTATTTTATGTTCAAACTAGTCTTAGTTACATTTGCACGTTTCTCTTACAAGAATTGACGTTTATATCATAATTATCTAACCCACTCATGCTTTTAATCGAAGAGATTAGCCCCTCTTGAGCACAAATCATGTTTAAACTTGGACATTTTGTGTTGTATTGAATAAATCATGCAGTCATGAATTTTTGGCTGATTGAGACCAATTTGAGGGGAGCCTTATGTTTGATTCTTTTGTGCATAAACAAGAAGTTCATTCATGTTACTATCTTACTGATAGTATTAGAAGTATCATTTGGTCAACTTTTTGTAGTTAGTTTTTACATTTTCAAGTAAATGTGCAATTTCGGTTTTTCTGTCACAACTTACAAGAACAAAAATCTCAGCCATAACCCTTTTAATGTCAATACCTAGCTTATAGGGATTGACAAGCCATTTTTCCTTTTTTGGTTTCATGTAGAGAGGTGGATCCAAAATGTAATTTCCAGCCTTTCTACTAGCTGAAGATGTTTCTTTTCAAAGAAGTTTAGAGAGCAAGTACCGTTTTCTTTTAGATCTTTAGTCCCCATATTTTAAGACCGCAAGCAGCTTCGGACAATGAGTGAACTTGCGGTTATGCTGTTTGAATGAAACGACAACTTCTACGCATTAAACTTGTGTAACATGAAGGTTAATAGTAATTGGCGATGTACTAAGAAATTAATTATCGATTTCCTTGCAGTTAGTCTTAGCCGGCATGATTCATCAATATCAATACATAGTGCTACGACATTTATTCCCCCTCCTTCAACAGCTAGATCAGTATCCATGAGAGATATGGGCACAGAAATGACTCCTATTGTTAGCCAAGAACCTTCGAGGACAGGAACTCCTGTGCGATCAACAACACCAATTCGGAGTCCAAATTCATCCATGCCATCAACTCCCAACAGAGCTGTACCGTCTGTATCTCCGGAAAATTCAGATAAAGACCACTTAGGTTTGAAAATGGAGTTGTCAGAGAAGGAGCTCCAAATGAAAACAAGGAGAGAAATTATGGTTCTTGGGGCCCAGTTGGGTAAAACAAACATAGCTGCATGGGCTAGCAAGGAGGAGGATAAGGATGCATCCACCTCTCTGAAAACTGTAGCACGAGAACAAGCATCTAAAAGTGTCATTGAAACCCGTGCAGCAGCATGGGAGGAGGCAGAGAAAGCCAAGTATATGGCCAGGTATTTTTTTTCTAAATAATTTCTCAATTCATTTTTCTATTATTGTTTTCTTTATCTTGAATCTTTTTGTTATTTTATTAAGCTGAAACATTGATGCTAATTTTCCATAGATGCATCTCTGTGGGATTTTTTATGGGATTTCTTATGTTTTTGGAATATTAACACTTAAGTGTAAGGGTAATTGATTCATATACAAAAATCTGCATACCACTTATGCGTTGGTAGTTTTTTTAGTTAAAACTTCATCTGGAACTTGAATTGTAAAGTTATGCGGCAATTATCCAGGTTCAAACGTGAGGAAATGAAAATTCAAGCATGGGAGATCCATCAAAAAGCAAAAACTGAAGCTGAGATGAAGAAGATAGAGGTATTAAAGCATTTAACTTATTTTTTGGTTGTCACTGTATTATTTCTTTATCGCCTATTGCAAGCCATAGAACTTATAAAACCAATCTTTTTCCATACATCTTAGAGGTAGTTTTCTTCTTTTTTTTTGATTTATTTTTCTGCCTCTCATGTTTATTGTAAGCACGAGGAAATGTTTACACGTTAATTCTGGTACTTGTATTAGAACGGCATAGAGTTGAAAGAACATTCAGAGGAGATTATATGGATTCAAAGTTCAAACTATGAACATCAATTAGGATTGAAGAGCCGAGTCAAGCTTGACATACATGTTAAACAAACCGATTATGCCATGCTCTTAAGCTTAGGAAGTTGATTATCAAATGAAAAATTTGACCTGAGGATGAACAAATCTAGTAATTTTCTGTTTACACCTTTTGATGATACTGGTAAGAAATTCTATTGTTAATAAGTAGATATAGATTCATATATGGACTGCGTGATTTTTGGCTTTCAGGTTGATGTTGAAAGGATGAGGGGGCGTGCTCATGATAAGCTCATGAATAAACTAGCCGCTGCAAGGCACAAGGCGGAAGAGAAGCGTGCAGCAGCTGAAGCCAAGCGAAACCAACAAGCTGCAGAAACCGAGCAGCAAGCTGATTATGTCCGAAGAACCGGCCGCATCCCGTATTTCTGTTGCTGGAGTTGGTGCCCCTGAAAAGATACATATTTTATTTTTGTTCAGATCAGTCTGCCCTACCCACGATGATTATATTCATCACTTTGTTCACTATAAAACTGAAAATATCACTATTGGTTTCCACTGGAAAGCTAAACTTTTGTAGTAAAAATCCCAAACATCCACCCAGCGAAGTGGGGGAGAAGTAGACGGGGAAGTAGGTGATGGGGGATTGAAATTTATTTTTGAGGGTTTCATTGTATGAATTGTTTATTTATTGGATCAATTATAATTCCCAAATTTTTTGGATGTTTTAAGCTATATCTAAATTTAGGGCCGAGTGATATGCCTGGTTCTTCATTGAACCCGGTCCGATTAATTCATTGATGATTATACATACATGTAACATGATGTTTAATTGCAAGGTTACTACATGGATCATTATTGTTGATGAGAAGCAAACAAGTAAAGAATTTAAGCATGGGATAATGAGCGCACGAGCTGCAATCAATTACGATGGATTGAAGTGAGGCGAAGAGCTTCTATAAACCCCATTTATATCGATGGATGACGATGATGTGATTGCATTACTATGATTGCTGAACAATCTTGACTACTTGTAAATCCATTCATTCGCACGACCTCCTGACTCGTCCATGTCGATAAATATGCTCACTGCCTACATCATTCATTAACATTAAACAAATACCAATGTAACCATCATGTATATGAATGAATGAATGAACGAATGGATGCCTTACCTTCCCTATTCGAGGCCGTTCTTTCAACTTTGCCAAGCTGTTTCGAATATGCGAGACTGCTCCCCAACATTTTAACGTGTTTGCCACATCGTCAAGCCTTAGAAGATATTCTTCTTCAGTTAAGGGAAATGATCTCTTCAGGAAAAGAGACAGATGAACTTAGAACACGAACATAGTGCATGATTATATAAAAAAAATTGCCCCCAAGGCTACTTGCTTTTTCGTATACTTCTAATACGAATTTGCAGATCGAAATACCTGCTCCATGTACTTCCACATGACATTCAGTGCAAGGAGATTTCTTCCCATGAACTCCTAAATTAAGACATGCACAGGTGAACTTAAATAATACAATAAAAATCTCACACAAACTCAAATTAGCAACTGAACAAAGAAGTATTAATCTAATCACCATACGACGATATTGAATGGAAGTTTAGAATACGCCCTTGAAGATGAAAAAACTACGATGTGCTCTAAATTTCACCTATTTAGGTCAAGTTGGGTGTTTGTCTTCTGTAGTAAGGTCTTAAATCATAGTCAAGTTCTGCAATATACAAAAAAGCATATTTCTATTAACAATATGAATGTTCTATCTGCTATTGCTATCGAAAACACATTTTACCTCCTATAATTAAACTAACAAAGCAGTTTTCGTAGAGCTGATATTGGAACTTTATAGTATCGGTTGAAGCTTGGCTCTTGAAATGAATTGTTATTAGTTTTTAGTTACAGAACCGTGTTTTTTTTTTGCTTGGAAAAGACATAAACATCTTCTCTTTATCCCATTAGAGAAGGTGACGAATTTTCAGTCATATTTTCAAATGCAATGAAGAAAAAGGGGCATCAAGGTAAAAGTTCTATACAAATCGGGCAACATGTTGAGGCACCCTTGACAAGATTCATCTACATTCTGAACATGAAAAGACAGTAACTTGTGCTTAGCAAACTCAAAATTCATCAGAAATTACCATTTTTAAGCGTATCATCGATAATCCAAGAATCTATAAGTTAGAACAAGTAAACATATGCTGATAAGGTCATCCTCTAATTTAGAAAAGCATACCTTCTTTATCAATTGAACATCATAGGACCTGCCATATTTGTTCCTAATAAGAGTTGCCAAGTCTAAGCCACTAAAAGTAGAATCGTCCGCGCCAACTATTCGTTCAAGGTTTTCCCGAAGCATATCACTGTTTTTCTGAGACAATTGCAAAATGAAAGATCATAACATCACACATTAGGATCTTGAATGTAAGAAGATAAACCTGGAAAAATAAACTTCTCCACAAAGAACAAATCAATAAAGGACAAGAATCCACAAATTTACCCATCAAGAATTTAACCAGATTCTCCACGCCATCGAAATAGACATAGAATTACAGATGCTAACCCAATCCAACTAGCAAAAACAAAAAAGTTCAATAACCCAAATCCATAAATCAACAGAAATGTAACCAGACCTTGACACAAAGGAAGCAACCATACAATTTACAACCCAAAACTAAATTAACCCGGTTCACCAAATTGTTACCTCTATGAATACAGATTTTACTGTTTATAAACCGATATTCAAAGATAACACTACCCCACCTTCATGAGTAACAAACTAAACAATTCAAGTGGCAGGAAGATTCCTAGTGTCAACTATCAAGTGTTCTTATCCTTATACTTCGAATAAGATTTCATACATGCATACTATGTATGTACGTGTATTCATGCACATGCATGTATGTATGTGTATTCATGTATGCATGCATTTATGTAAGTAAAGAATTGACCCTAATTCATATACTAAATCAAGCCCAACATACCAATTCAATAAACATGACTATGTTCATCTCTAAGACACCCCAATAAACAAAATGGAAACTTTTTTTAAAAAAAATTAATTTTTATTTAACTAATTAAAGTGGAGAAGATCAAGCGTACTCCTTCATTCCCCCCTTGTGAAGATTCTTTCTGATCATTCCCTTCCTCGGGATCATCCGATTCGTCGCCGCCATCATCCACGGTGCTAGAAAAGATCGGAGCAAATCTCCGACGACTCCGCGGAGCTGAAAAACCAAACCCACCGAGACGAAAACGCGGACCACAACATCTCAGTCTCGTAAGCTTATGAAACCTTTCCCTGCGGCTGCAAACGTGTTCCGAAACCCCAACCGACAAATTACAACGATGAGTCGGTACAAAGCTTGTCATAATATCCTGTAAAAAAAATACGAAAACCCCGAAGCTCTAAAGGGAAAAAGGGAGTGAAAGTGAAGTTGAAGGAAGGAACTTGGTTATGGAGAAGAGGGTTGAGGAAGGAGAAATCTCAGACGAAACAATGGATTGAGAATTGAAAGAGAGAGGCGGCCATTGACAGTGTTTTGTTGAGTGAAATAAATGTGGTTTGGGTTCATTGGAATTTTCTACCGCCATTATCCTTTCTAGAAATAAAGGTTTAATTATAAAATAAGTTACTAAATCTACATATTTTCTATTTTAAATATCTAATTCTTTATCAAATTAAATATTTAATGTTTTATTCATAAAATTTTATGTGTAAATAACATAAATGGTCCCTCGACTATAAGGTATTGTTTTATTAAGTCTCTCGACTATAAAAGTTATAAAATGATCATTCAATTATAGATTGTTGCTTTGTTGAATCCCTCGACTATTAAAAGTTACAGAATGATCACCTGACTATTCTTTATGTTCACAACTCACCCTTTTCGTTAGAAAATTGACGATTGTTTAAGTTGGATGTTACACGATGACCGAGATATGATAGTCGTTTGAGATTTTGGGATCAAATTTTATCATATCACAGTCAAAAAGTTAACGTTTAGCTCAGAATATCGTCCAATTTTTAACAAAAAGGATGAGTCTGGAACATTATGAATAGTCGGGTGATCATTTTATAACTTTTAATAGTCGAGGGACTCAATAAAGTAATATTTTATAGTTGAAGAACTATCTTATAAGTTTTAATAATCAAGGGACTTAATAAAGCAGTACCTTATAGTCGGAGACCATTTTCATTCTTTACCCTAATTTTATTATATTTGATTACAAAATATATAATAAATTTATTGATTAAGGTTTTCTAATAAATGTAATCAATTAATTTCAAAATATTATAAAATAAAATATTTGCTTATCAAGACCTTGAAGAACACTAATTGAAAAAAAAAGCTTATCAAATGCTTGTTTTGACACAATAGTTGTACCCTTTTCCATGTGAAGAAGCTTGCAACTTGTAATCTTCTAATTGCTGCTACTCCCTCAAAAAATGTATTTATTAATATATATATATATATATATATTTACTTTTTGGCCAATTTGTTACAAATCATTAACTTCTTCTGGTAGGGCTTTGGAAGATTGCCACTCGTCTCCATCATGCATGGCTGATATATTTAGGTGCATGGGGAAGGCAGCTCGTGTTGCTTTATGTGCAATAGCAAGGCACCTGCGTTTACAAAGCGAGTAAGGACGGTGATGTTGATGGTGAATTATTATACTCATATTGATTTGCTTATATTTATCTTTCTGCTTAGTGCTTTGACACTGATATTGAATCGCTAATTATGTATTATACAGCGTGTTCAATCATTTACTTGATGATACTCCATTACCTGCTAATGAGGTGTCTTCATCAGTGCTTGTTGCAACCTACTCTCACATGTCTTTGCAAAATGGAAAGGGGGCTTTTGGAGGAAGGAAGCCAGGAACAACTGCTGAAGTTGAGAAGGGGTTATTGACTTAGTTTTCTTCAGATGGTCCTGGTTTACGGGTCTCTTTATTTTTCTCTCTTTGGCAGAAGAAAAAAAAATGATTCTTTGATGCCAGGGATTCTCATAATCAAATAATTTTTTTGAATATGATACCGTGCATATATATTTTCTTGCATAAACACAGAACATGTAGAAGTAGAGAATATATCCTTGCATACACATGTATGCATAATTTGTTTGGGGTGTTTGGTTATATGATCCTTTTGGGGCGTATCTGTTAAAAGTTTTCTGCCTTAGGTTTGTGATCCCAACGGTCGTTGGTATCTAGCAGATGCTGGATTAGCTTCTGGGGATATGTTGCTTATTACTGGCAAGGCACTTAGCCATTCCACTTCCAGTCTTCGTCCTGCAGCCTTCTATGGAGCTTCTCCTGAGTACCTTTCCGGGATTAATAATGGTGACAGGTAACATGTAGTCATGTTTTGTTCATGGTTTGTTGCTTACAGAGGTAGCAAAGTTATTCGGCTTGCACTTCTTCACCTAAGTGAGTAACCCTTTTCAGCACTTGGCATCAGGACATCACTCGCCTTTAGGCAATGCTATATTGAACTGCTCCCCAGTCGCAGCTGCTGGTCATGTAATTCCACAGAGCTATGTACCAACATCTGTTAGCCAGTTCATGGATGAACTCTCTGCTGAAGAAGATGTAGTGTGCAATCCTTCTGATAATACTTGTGTATGTCCTGACTTGTTCCATTTCATGCATGATTCGCAGCTCTCCGTAAGAGACGAAAGGAGATGGGTGACCAAATTGATATATCCAAGAGATCGAGCAGGGTATACTCTCAATAATACCAAGAGGAATAGTGAACTCGTCCAGCTGCTGCCATAGAGATTTGAAATTTGCTTCACTCTTGTTTTTTTTTTTTTTTTTTTGCCATGCTATCGTTGTATTTGAATGTTTGTTTATCCAAGAAAGTGCAACTCTGGAATATATGTATAATACGACCAGCTTGCATTTTTTTTGGCTCGTTGTTTATCAATCATTTCGATACGAAGATGATACGAGTCCTACGACATCATGATACAAATCGAATATTGCAGAGACTCGGAATTATTCTTCCCATAGTAGTGGTTTTGGTAAATTTATCATCTGAATAAATTATGTGGCCGATGAGTTTATGCACAACGTTAAGGTGATCGTTCTATAGGCGGAGGAGGTCCTACTACCCAAAGCATATTACTACAGAAGCATTACAATAATGATATATGTGTGTGTTAATGTACGATGTGTCCTTATAATTATATATATGTGTGTGTGTTTATAATGAAATTCTTCTTATTTACTCAATTTTTAGAATTTTTCATGTAAGTTTATATATCTTAAATTTTTTTTATTGTTTTATGATTATTTATTTATAATTATATGTAATAATGATAATTTGAAATTGTAACAAGTGAAGCTATACTAATATGTTACTTGATAAAAAAATTAAAAATTTAATTTTAAAGACTGAAATAAAAAAGGACAAATTTAGGGTTAAAATAATCCAGATATTAACTATTATTTCATCCCTTGAAAATTTTAATATATATACATACCCACAGAATATTTTTTTTTTACACAAATTGGGTCTATTGTTTAAGAACTACTTTCTTGTAAACTTAACTTGTTTAATGTGTAATTGATTTTTGTATTAATATGTATATTTTGTAGATCCAATACTAACAAAAACTATATTTAATTGAACAAATTGTTGTTTATATTTAGTTAAATAATTTGTAATTAAGTGGGAGATATTGTTAAAGGTTTTGTTATCCCCTATTTTGAAATTTTTTTTTTTTTATTAATTTATGATTATTACAATATGTGGTATATGTTCTAAAGATTCTCAACTACTTAATGAACGTTTAAATATTCTACAATCGTTGTTTTCGAATTCGAGACCTCCAGAAATAACAATCATCCTTTAACTACGGAGATAGATTGGTTTTATGCGAAATTCTATATTTAATATATTGCTGCAACACAGATTTTTGCACTATTTCCCCCAGTAATTATACAATGAAATTTCAACAAAATCCAGGCAAAGTTCCATTGTAGAAATGGAGAATGCCAGTGTTATTCCTTACCAACTTTGACATCTGCCCCTTCATCTCTTTACACGCTTTCTCCAACTCCACAACTCTCCATTGCATCTTCTGCAAAATGAGCTTCATATCTTCATCTGATGATGATGAAACCATGGTGTTGCCATTGAACAACACCATGTGTCCATGTGAGTTCTTGCCATGGCTGCCATTGTTAGTCCTCTGATATAAAAATCCATTTTGGGGCAGTTTAGATTGCTGACAAATGAGTGCTTGGACTGAAACATTTGGTGGGATTCTGGGATTTTTAGCAAGCTCTTTGCTTGCTTCAAATGTCAGCTTTTCATAGTTTAGACATCTGCACAGCTTTGATTCATCCTCAAATGGAAGTGTTGGATGGGACTGAAATGGAAAATGGCTTGATTAATTAGCATAAATTAAATGAAATTATAGAGGGAAAAAAGGGAATTAAAATGGTTCACCTGAAGATAGAAATCAATAGCTCTATAGACTCTATCAAAGCAATCTCTTGCAGAATCTGGTAAACTGTCAGCAACTGCAAGGAATTTGGAGACATTAAGGTTCTGGTCTGGTGATATTTCTCTCAAGTACTTATCTATCAATCTTCCAATCTTCTTCATCTTCTGTGAATTCATATCTTCAGTACTAATGACAAACACTTCAATCAATCTTATTACAAGGTTGACATCATATACACCCTTGTTGTGTCCTGAAACCAACAAGTCATCCACAGTTGCTTCATCAAGATTCTCACCAATTAATCTCTCCAAGCCTGCCCTAGAGTCTTTGCTGAGACTAAAACCAGAAACTAGTCTCAAAACCATAAGCACTCAAATTCCTGATGATTTTTTCAATGATCTTTGGACTCAGTACTGTCAAGTGATCAAACCACCAATCCTTGCCTGATTTTGAAGAGAATCTGAAACCAAAACTTGTTTCAGATGAAGATGATGATGAAGAAGAAGAAGCTATGAAGTTCATATCTGAATTATGAACAATCTTTGCTAAAAGTGAAAAAATCAGCCTTTGGATTAGACCATATGAATCTGCAAATGGAAAGAATGATTCACAGCTCCTCAAACACATCATTAGATCATTCCAGGACCAATTGAACATCCCTTCAAGGAACTTTTCTGTTTGTCTCAAGAGATTGTTGGTTGAAGCTTTATCTGTCATGCCAAGGAAAAATGCAGAACAATAAAGAAGAGACACATTTAAAACTGTGATTTCAACTCTTCCATGGCTGTAACAGAACCTTGAAACTTGCTCGAATCCATCTGGTCCACCAGGGAAATCGTGGATCTCTATAATGGAACCCTCAATCTGGGTTTTCCTCCTTTGTTTTCTTATCATCTTCTTCAACCTTCCTGAGAAAGCTGATACAACATTCTGGGAAATTCCCCCCCCCCCCAAAGAATCATATTCACAAATAGATGTTCCACTTCTACGTATACACAAGCGAAAAGAAAATCAGAAAATGAAAGAAATTTACCTCATGAAGAAAGAAGCTTTGTTGATCATTAATGATGATTTGGAGATTGATAATCTGAGCCATTGCTATTGCTCTTTTCTTATTCTTCTTCAAGGCTTTATCTTTGTGCATTGAATGAACCAAGGAAACCAAAATAAAAGGAGGGTTTTGTTGGTATGTGAATATGTTTATATATTACAGAGAGCAGCCATAGCCTAAAGCTCCAAGAAGAAATTATTGAGCCTTTTAGGCATGGATAAATCCAGCAATCTCATGCCACAATGCCCCCCCCCCACACACATATATCCCCCCCCCCACCCACACATATATATATATAATAATCAATGATATTGTCGACCTTGCACATTATTTTGCCAAAAAGAATCTTACTAGACTATAACGTTAAAAGACGAACAACCTTTTATCAAATAGGTTATAGACGGAATTACGTATGATTTTATGTTAGGATAACGAACTTCAACTTATAAAATTTCAGAGTGAGAGGGCAAATGAATTTTAGAGTGAACGAAAATAAAATTTCAATAGAAAATACATAAAAAAAAATCTAAAATATATGATAATATTAGATTTTTTAAGGGGGCGACTACCCCGCCCGTCCCGCCTAGTTCCATCTTATCTATAGGTCAAACCATCATTAGACAAAACTTGCATTTTTCACCCAACAAACATCATAACATGCATTTCTACATAACACTCGCATTTGCCAACCAATTTTTTGCACTTTACGTAGTTTGTACATCCATTTTATCTTATATGTAACCGGGTGTAACGTTACATATTCATAAAAACATTGGCATATTTATAATTAGTTTAAAAATAGTGTATTTGTGTGAGGTCATTGTATTTTTTTCATATCATTATCCTTTTTATTTTTTTCATGTTAACCGTATATCGTGTTGTTTACTTAATTATCGTATGCAAAACACAACAATGGAATCGAGACATGAAACAATTGTTGATTGCAGTTAAATCTTCACCTTCATTGAGTTCTTCACTTCGTAACTTTTTTGAAGCGAAAACTCAGTAAAGGTGAAGATTTTAATGCAACTAACATTCGAATCGACATTTTAAGCGAAAACCCCAAAGAATAGGATGAGAAAGAAAGATTTAGTTTTTTCCTAATCCAAGTTTAATTCTACTTCTCTTGATTATCTTAATATAATTTAACTTCTATTTGGTTAATGAAAATTGGGGTTTGATTTTTTTAATAATATTAAATTATTTTAATTTAATAACTATGTTCTTCACTATACCTAACGTGATAATATATGATTGTGTAATAAAGATGTTAAAATACAACATATAATATGACACGAAAAATAGTCCAACCTTATATTATTTGGTAAATTATGCGTTTAGTACTTAAATTATCAATTTTGATCAGTTTTAGTACCTAATTTTTTTTTTCAAAATCATACCTAAAGTTTAGTTTTTATTTCATTTTAGTATTCCGTCGTTAAAAACTTTAGTTTTTGTTTCATTTCAATACCCTGTTCAAAATTTAACGTTACGTTTTGAAAAAAAAATGAAAACTTAGGTAATAAAACGGATCAAAATTGATAGTTTAGGTATTAAACGCGTTAAGTTTTTAAAATTAAACGTTAAGTATGATTTTGAAAATTTTGAAAGTTTAAATACTAAAACAGATCAAAACTGATCATTTAGATACTACATGCGTAATTTATCCTATATTATTATAGGTAGATTGTAAAAAATATGACAATAAATATAACGAAACACAATATACGTTACGATAATTCACAACAATCGATTTAATAATTTCTTTTGATTAATCTAAGGTAAATGTAAGACATTATTTGTTTAAAAATAACCTTCAATCATTTGACATTATACGCTCACACCCTTAGCATTCTTATACTCGATCTCGGAATCTAAAAAAAAATCTTTTAATAATTTTAAAAGAGTTCATATCTCTTACATATAGATCGCTTATTATCAAATGTGAGAAAAGGATGGGTCATTAGTCTGTCAGCAGTCCAACGCTCACGAAGATCCCTAGCAAAGCACTTCATCAAAAAATCTCTCCCGTCCGGCGACATATTCCGGGGTATATCCGGTATATCCCTCGACCAAGCGATCCTCGTTGCCAAGCTGTCCAAATCGTTGATGTCGACCGACGACTCCCACGGTCTCTCTCCGGTGATCATCTCAACCACAACGCACCCCAACGACCATATATCCAAAGCAGCCGTTATTTCCCTATTCTTTACCGATTCCGGCGACATGTAAGCCGGAGTACCTCTGAAACGCTCTAGAGTCAGCCACGTATCATCGCCGGGTTCCTTGGCCAAGCCGAAATCAGCTAACTTCAAATTATAACGATTACCGAATTGATAAGGAAAAACGAGTATATTTTCCGGCTTGATATCACAATGCACGTAGCCTCTCCTATGAACAAAACTAAGTCCTTGGAGTATCATCTTCGTGTAGCACCGTACGTCGGATTCTGGTATTCGACCGCCGTATTTCTCGATCAAATCGAAGAGATCGCCGCCTTGGGCGTACTCGAGGATCAAGTTGTCACGTCCGAAAGCCGGAAATTGAACGTAGCATTGAACGACATACGGGCAGTCAAAAAAAATTTCGAGGATCCTGTATTCCCTTTCAAGCGAAGAAACCGACAACGGCGATGTTTTAACGGCGACTAACATATGAGCAGGGTTTATCATCTCCACTAATTCGACAACCCCATTGCTTCCGGCACCGAGATTCTTCATTTTGATCCATTGCAAGGTCGAACTAGAACCGTACAAAGCTCTTGACCCTGACTCCATTGCTGTGCTCTCTACAAAAATCGAAGTAAAACCCTGATTTGCAACTAAGAAACGTTGAGCGCTAGAGAAGATGGATGAGAAAGAAAGGTTTGGTTTTCGATATATATACAACATTGTATAAGAAAATTTTCCTAATCCAAGTTTAATTCTACTTCTCTTTATTATCTTAATATAATCAAGTCCTATTTGGTTAATGAAAACTGGTAATTTAATAATATTAAATTATTTTAACTTAATAACTATGTTCCTCACTATGGTTATACTTATTGCCCTACAAATATCGACTTTTTACAAGCATGTTATGAACAAGTGAGAGAATGTTTATCTTCTCTCATATTACGTTTCTTACTTTCAAATTTTATGGTATTACAAGTTAAATATAATACAATAATCCTCTGTTATTTAACTTCTAAAACAATTTCTGTGCTTTGTATTATGATGAAATTTGTGGCACTTAAGGTGCGTTTGGTACATGGAATATAAGATTATCAGTGGGAATAAAAGATTACCAGGGAATAGGATTACTTGAAATGTTGTATTTTGTGTTTGGTTGGTTTAGCAGGAATGTAAGATTACCGTGTTTGGTTAAAGAAATAAAAGATTATTGGAATGTATATTTGACCAAATTATCCTTATTATATATTTGATTTTTAACAAGTTGAAAAATATTTTATTATATAATTTTTTTAAAAAAATTGAAAATATAAAAAGGTTTAATGAAAGAGTAAAATTTTATTTTAACCCCTGAATTTCATATAAAATTTTAATTATAGACTTATTTTTGTAAATTTAAAATAGTTTAAGGATAAATTTATAATTTAACCTTCGTAGAATTTTTATTGTTCAATGACAGAGTAAAGATATTTTTGAAAAGAAAAAAATTTAAGGGCATTTTAGTACAAAACGTCGGTAATCCAACAATACCTAAGGAAAGGGAGGTAATGACATTCCCGGTAATATACCCCAAAAAATTCACTATTGGTAATGTAAGATTACCGGAAATGACATTCCCTGCCAACCAAACGGGGGAATGTGGATTCCCTGGGGGGAATGTGGATTCCCTGGGGGGAATGTGGATTCCATTCCCATGGGAATCTCACATTCCCCCAACCAAACACACCCTTAAGCTAACTGATGATAACATTATTTAGGGTAAATTATATCATTCATCTTTAAATTATACTCTCTCTTTTTATTTTATTCACTGGATTTTTATTTTTATTTTAAATTTTTTTCTAAACTTTTGAATTATTTCTGCTTTAATCACTCTGACTTATTTTATTATTATTTATGTATGATGTGGTATTTTTTTTATTATTTAAGATAAAATAATTGAAAATATAAAATAAAAATAGAATGTGGTCAGATGCCATCGTCGACAGTCATAGATGGTGGTCGTTCGGTCCCAAATTTTATGGGTCGATTCGTCTCGACCCCTGAGTCTGAATCTGATGGTTGCTTCACTGGAAAATGTCTAAAAACCTGTGAATCTCGATTGAAACATTTTGACTTCCTTACTTTCAATCTCCAATTCGTGAACTTCGAAATAAATTCTGAAAAAATAGAGGTCAGACTCAGACTCGGACTCAGTGTCGAGGCAAAGCGACTAATGAAATTTAGGACCGAACGACCACTATCTACGACGATCGACGACGGCTGGCGACAGTGTCTGACCACCTTCTGTTTTTATTTTATATTTTAAATTATTTTATATTAAATAATAAAAAATATCACATCATGTGAAAATAATGATAACAAAATTTAGAGTGATCAAAACATGAACAATTAGAAAGTTCAATGAGTAAATTAAAAAAATAAAAGTATAGTGAATAAAATAGTAAAAAGAATAAAGATCATTGAAGAATGATATAATTTACCCAATTTAGTTCCTAAAAAAGTGGCCAAGTTGTTTAAAATAAGTACAGCAGAAATAGATGCGCCATTTTCGCTACCATGTCCGAGGCATTTTGATATGTAAAAGATACGAGAACTCAAAATGAGTCATAAAACATGCGACGTGGTCACTCACAAACAGTAAACAAATCCTGATTTACATTGTACAGCTGACTCGATGAAACGGAAATTATATACAATGACAGAATCCGAACGAAAACACAGCATATCAGGCAATACAAGTCAAAAATAAGATTCAACAGTATGGAAGAAACGACCTCGGCTCGCGAATATAACGGAAAATTATCTTCCACGGTTGCATTAGATAATGGCGACGGGCAAGGTTGTGAATAACGAGTCTGAATCCTGCCTGCTTGCTAAGCACAGCTCATGCAACTCGTTGAGTATCCACTCCTCACCTGTGTGTCCGCCCAATACCAGGACCCTGGTCCCTCCGACGACACAGGTACTATGACCCCAAGCAAATTTTGGTGGATGCCCAGGAACATTGAGAGTCCTCCATGACGGTTTATCCTCCGAAGGATCCAAGAGGAAGAGCTGAGAAGGAGTATGCAACCCAGCAATGGAACCACCGAATACAATTATCCTCCCACAAGGCATGCTTATGGCTACGTGATCAAGTCTAGGAGGAGGTACCACAGCACTTTGGCTACCAACACTGGTGAAGGCACTTCAGTCCAGTTGCCGCCAGTGTGGTTCTTTGTCTTCCAAATCAATCGTGTAGGCTTCACCTGATCGCAATCGCAGGTTCCCACTCTTTGCAAGGCCACCAAACATAAGAATTTTAGTACGAACATAAACGGAAAGTGAATAGCCCAACCTAGAAGGGGGTGTCCATGAAGTTGGAATCTCTTTCCATGTTGGCTTGTCTGTAGTAAGATCCAAAAGATAAGTGTCGCTGAGAAGCACCCCAGCATCTGTGCACCCACCAGACACAACCTACTTAGAACCATCTATCGTGCAAGAGCTATGCCAATATCTAGGGAGAGGGGGAGCACCACCAGAAACTTCTTTCCATGTAGGTTGTTTAGCATCCAAGTCGAGAACAAAGACATCATTGAGCAATCCTTGCTTTCCACATCCTCCAAATACCACCAACCACGAACCATTTAGGCATGAGAGAGTATGGCCCCAACGCCCTGGAGGGGACGATTCCACACTTACCCGCTGCCACGCTGGATTTGCGGCATCAAGATTGAGAACAAAGGTGTCATCCATTGGCTGCATATTGACTCCCTCACCTCCGAAAAGCACTAGACGGTTCCCTGCTGCACATGCACTAAAGTTGCATCGTGAAGGCTCCACCGCTCCTCCAACGGTCAGTTTCCTCCAACAGACTGCCTCAAGAGTGGTCAGTTATCTGGCAAGACGTCCCCATCCCAACTTTTTAGTCATCATTTCCAACGTACCAGTGACCTCCCTTCCCCAGGCTTTTTGACATACAATCTTTCGCACATGCTCATTTTTTGTCAGTTGTCATATCCCACATATTTCTCGTCGCTGACTGAATGGTGAATCATTGAAATGAGAGTATTTAGTTGACTCGTCCAACTGCTGATTGCAAGTCTCCTTGAAAACCGGATATGATATACGATTCAGATCCAGTTTTGCTTCGGAAAACACTTGAATACCAATAATGTGAGTGACTATTCCATCATCATCACGTATAGGTGCAAGTTTCAATATGTTCACCAACGGAGTGCCATCCTTCCTGAAATTCAGAAGCTCACCTTGGAATTCAATACCTTCTTCAAGACATCTTCGGATCTCAGAAACAACAAAAGGATCTACCAAAGGGTGCCGTCTTTGAGCACATTGATCTCTATACTGTAAGAACCGACTGAAAAAAGAATCCCATAAGAGGGCCAATCTAGATCCTTTAAATCAAGTGATTATTAAAAGATAAAGATACATCAGATCTAGATAGGGAAGCATAAGCATTATGAGAAAATGAAAACTTCCATGACCAAAATTGTGAATACCATCCAAAAGGATGCCCATAACAAGATAACATGGAAACAAATTAATCTCTGGAGCAATTTTTATCCACTTCATGTTTCGCCTTGTAAGCTGGAGGACATGAATATCTCAAATTCTTTTAACACGTTAAAAATTAAAACAATCAAAAGCTAGATGTTTCTCACTCACCATAAGAAAATCAAATCCTTTTGAACACAGCAAAGAGGGAAAAGATAATTTTGCAGCACACTCTAAATTTCTGTATGCTCATTTAACCATACAAAATAATAATGATTTATCACCATTTACCATTGAAAAACTCTAAGTTTCTGTATGCTCATTTAACCACAAAAAAGAATAATGATTTATCATCATTTACCATTGAAAAACGTTTTGCTAAATATTCAAAGACAACTGCTATTCATGAATATCTATCGTAGTTTAGGGCCTGAAAGAATCGTTTTCTACTTCAAGCTGGAAAGAACACTAACTTTAAACACGTTAAAGTCATCTTTCAAAAGGATCTTGGTTTTTAAAGGCGCAAGGCACACCGAGATGCAAAAGGTCTCTGGAGCCCAGGCACGCGCCTTTTGTATGCGATGCACACCGTTTGTATTATATGTAAATATAATGAATAATTTTAATTTCAAAGTAAATTAATGAAATCTCTTATTATTTTATTTAAAAATATATAAATTCTGATTTAGTTAATATTTTATATCTTTTCTTTTTATAAATAATAAATTATAATATTTTGTTTTTAAAGTTAATATAAGTATGAGTATATTAATAAAAGTTTAAAAGAAAAAATAGTGAAAACAAATTTATTTTGAAATAAGAAAAGAGTTGGGAAAGTTTTGATCAAGTGTTGTCCACAAAAGTAACAAAGAATAAAAAAACAATGGGAGACACTTATCCTAAGGTGAAGGGAGTCAGGGACAGTCAGTGGCACTATCCTATTTATATTTTAATTACATTTTTAATATTAGTTTATTATATTATAAGCTATATTTATTATATTAGAATATAAACAAAAAAAAATGAGAGGACAGGCGGTGGCACTCCGTTGGTGAATATAACCTAAGATGTCTTGAAGGTATTGAATTCATCAATAAGATTGTCACGCA